TTTTCACAGATTAAATAAATTTTAAGAAAATCGACATGGAAACGGAAACATATGAGCTTAATATTTCATCAGTATACATAAGGCCAGACCAAACCAATTATTTGTTTAACATAATATAAGTTTACTAAAAATGGGAGGAACCAAAAACAATACATATTATTTGATTATTTATTTATGGCGTTTTGAGGAACGCCCATTAGTTTTAATTTCTATTCTAGTTCTGACATTCTTCACATAATGGATAAAACGTTCTTTTAAATATTGAGGTGATATTACTATAATAACAAATTAAATAATTTCCTGATTTACGACTTGAATAATACATTACTTCGATTGGTGAATCACAATTGATTTGCATATATACAAACATTATTTCTTTCAAATAATGATCATCAGGAAAAATCAGTGCATCACAAAAGTATGAATACGATTCTAATGCCTATTGTTAATCTTCTTATTCTTCATGTGTCAAAGATTTATCACTATACACATAACGATGTTTTCTACAATATCACGGATTTTTCCCACAACCAAGGTAGACTTTGGAATAGGTTCTGTATTTGCTTGAGATTGCATATATGTTGGTCTATACTCTTCAGTAGTTTCAGTTTCATAAACATTTTGAAAAAACGCATAATGATCTTTATTGTCTAATTTTTTTTTAAAAAATTAATATTTATTGATATTATAATATAGGTAAAATAATTGAAAGTATTGTGTCTGAAAGAAAACTCAAGTTATGAAATTCATGTAATGAAAGACGAATTGGTTTACAGTATACACAGGAAGTATTGTTACATTTTTTTTTATCTATTGTATTATTTAAATTAAACTATATTAAAAAAATAAAATTTCAAAAATGTTATAACACATACCTGAAAGCTGTAGGCACATGAACGATAATAAATTTGATTAATGCAGAATGATGATGTATTTGTATTTATGTAGTTTCTTCTATTTCCAAAGTTGGATCTATATTAGAAATGAACTGTTTCAAGAGTAAGAACAATTAATAAAGCATAAAATTAATAAAAAAATTAATAATGAATTTAAAGATTATGATAATGAACTTTACCTTAAATAACTCAGCAATACTTTCTTTATTCGCTTATTTAAGACATTGAAATTTCTTATTTTTCAGTAAGAGTCATTCCGTTTGCTTATTTAATATATCTTAGACACTTACTATATTCTCCTTTAATTTGGATTCTAACCTACTAAATTTTTGAGCTTTTTTTTACATCTCAGTTAAAGTATTTACCGTATGAAACAAATTCTCATATTCAGAATTCATTTTATCATGTTTAAGTGTTACATCTTGAAGACCTAGATTTAGAATATTCATAATGCGTTCTGCTGGATTTGTTCAGCTATGATTAGGTGCTATACAAACTGCAATAAGCAAACAAATCAAAATCTCCTCAAAAAAAAAAGACAGATCAATGCAATTTGTAATGATCCATAATTATAACGATGATCTAGACCTCCGTCAGTATAAAGGTATAAAAAGTCGAAAGAAATAATATATTTATAAAAATACTAAAAAGAAGTAAGAAAATAAGGAAAAATTATGATTTATATATTTGATATTTTTTTTTTTTTGTGCTTTATGGAGCGGCAAATAAACCAACATTGTTTGCAATATAAATTGCCATTAATATATCAGCAACCAATCCAGCAGAGGTGTAACAAAGTAGCCTAGCAAAGATTTAGCACATTAACATTTGTTAGATGATCATAACGATGAAGATATATGATAATTATGCCATGTTTATGTTACTTATAATTTGGTTTGTTAATGTGGACGTTAAAGTGAATTTTTTAAATTTAAATTTAAATTTTTAATTATTTTATTTTAAATTGTAACTCTTGTTTTCTAATTAGGAAATACTTTGTACATATTATTATTAAAAAGTGTCATTTTCATCATACATTACTTCAAAAAAAAAGAGCTTTTTTTTTGAGGTGGGGTTCTTTTCTATAAATATCTTGAAAGTTCTGAAGACAAAGACGCTAATAAATACGAATTGTATGATGAGCTTCCGACTTAATAAATTTGTCATTACACACTAAAAATCTGAGGTAATTGGTCACGATCGATTTTGACACGATTTTGTGTTGACGACATTCACATTTGATTGGGTGATACAGTCGACCACATGATCAAAATTTTCATCCACGGTTTTTACTCTGAAATCATGTTAATTTCAGCCGGCGATTTTTGCGCGCGAATTTTGAACCATCCATCCTGGACACCCTAATACAACTATGCATATTATTTAATGTCATTGTAAATTAAAAATAAAGTGCATCTCTTTTTTCGTTATATTAAAGAATAAGGTTTTTTTTTTCGGGATAATCAAATAATTTTATTTGTCACTTATACTGCTGATGAAATATTAAGCTCGTATGTTTCCCGGTTTTCTTAAAAATTATTTAATCTGTGAAAT